TCACATTTTCCCTTCACAAAATCATAGTCATTCCTGCACTGTGGTTTCTTTACAGATAAAATACTTGTAATCAGGTTCCATCAAAAGGAGTGGCATGAGGAGTTAATGAGTAAATAGGCTTAAAGCATCAGAAGAGTCTTGAATGAAAGGTACACACTGTTTTCACTGTTATTAATATAATACAGCTCATCCATTATGGATCTGATGGCAAACACAGACAGCGGTTCTGACCTCATTTACGGGGCAGGCCAGAGAAGGTCTGCATAACAGACAGCTCACGGGAAACAAAGCCCAACCAAGGCTCAAACAACCCAGAAATCCAATCTCATCACGGTGCTCTCAGGTGTGTGAAACTGACCGGGGATGTTGCACTGTGAAAATCCAGAATGGACACACATTAAGGACATTGAGAAAGGAGGAAGTGCCAGCCGTGTTTAACACAGGAAACAAAATGCAGTGAAATGAGACATCAGCCAAATGCATGCCCCAGTAATTTGCTAAGCTGGCTGGTTTGTATCCTCACTGTCAGGTGACAAGGCATTCCCAAACAGGAGGGAGACTTATTTAGCTTCCTGTAGATCATCCTTGTAGGAGCTATTTCAAGTGAGGCAGCGAACTAAATTAATGCTAAGCCCTGGAAAATATTTATGAGACCATCATAATTGTATGCAGGTTGGCTCAGGTGCCACCTTTTACTTCTTATAATTTAGGTTATTCACTCTAGCAAGTGGTTTCTTAGAATTATTCCCGGGTTTTCAATCTCTCTTATAATTCAGACAGCTAAGTTTTTCAGAGTTAAATTTTCTTTCAAGGATTTTTAGAGGGTAGTATTTTCACGTAGAGATCCTTGAAATTATTATTTTCAAATCGAGCCGATTCTTCTTCTTTGTAGCCTAGCCAAAAGAGAGAGAGAGAGAGATCTATGTAATCGTAGTGTCAAAATGTCAGAAGACTAAGATAGGTTGGGAAAAAGAAGAAAAGAAAATAATAAAAAAAAAAAAAGAATTAGAGACATCTTTGCAGTCTCCAAGCTTGGCTCACATAAAATACTTGTGACATGCTGTAATTAACTAGTTACTCCTCTCAGAACGAGTAATTAGGCAACTATTTTCCAGCAGCAGTAAAGAAGGGATAGTTTCTATTTAAAAAAAAAAAAGGACACTGTTCATTTCTGGAGGAAGAAAAAAAAGCCCTGGACTAATCCACATAAGCCGCTAATTCAGCATGACATGCAATTTCACCAATACAACTGCATGATAACTCTGGCACTCTTCTGTCACAACCTCATATTCTTCAAAACAAGTTGCAATCTTGTTCAGATTATATGGGAGCTCAGAACTGCACCTGATACCACAAAGTGCACAAAGTGTTAAACTGTAGCCTGACTGGAGAAAACATCTCCTTGTCAAACTGGGCTTAGCTGCCTTGGAGATCCTTGAGGCTGTGCTCTGCTTCCTTTGTCCGTGGAAACAAAAATAAAAATACAGCAGGTGAGACTCATTGGTCATAAACCTTTTCCATCTTTCAGACCCTTCAGGGACCAAGGAGCACACAGTTAGATGAGAGCTTGCAGGTGCATTTCACCCATAATCTCTCTGCAGTGTCAATGTCCAACATAACAACTGTGTTCTTGAACCCCATTCACCTCCAATTCATCATTCCCTTAATAATTCATTCAAGGAGTATTTTTGAAGACCTGCCATGATGCGGCTTTCTGGGTGCTGGGTACTGACAGCCAAATGGGACAACTTAACTCTCGAGAAGCCTAGAGAGAAGTGAAGATCTAAACTAGTAAACAGACACACCAACAACACAGTAAATGCCACCATGTGGATAGCTGTGCGTTCCATCTCACAGAACATGCACAAATTCACTCACTGATATGCACATGTTACACCCCCTCTCCCTTACTAATACGGAATTCCATAAATTCCTCTTTAAGGTTTTGAAGCAGTGATTCAGACAGGAATTTTTTCTAAAACCTACAGTTGCATAATTTCAAGAGAGCCTTGAGTGTGTGTGTGTGTGTGTATAATGTGTGATTTTATGTGAAGCCATCTTTAATGTAGCATTTTGTTTAAGGATAAAATATTCTTACCAACTGATGTTGGTCAGCAAGATGAATTCTATGTCCATAAGACTGGGTACTTACTATAACACCTAGAAATTGGGTCATCTTGTCTTAAAACTAACATTTGCATGTGTATTCTATAAAGCAAGAAGAACCTGGATCATTTTGAGTATATGGAGACCAAGAGCCAATGTGATTTAAATTCTTAAAATCTTGATAAGTATTTCAAGAGTAGACATAACCCTGTTTTTCAAAGCTCCTTCATCCAAAGTATTCCTTTAATCAGTTAATGGTAAGAATTTGGGCCTGTGTTGTTTTCCCTGAAACTTTCAGTATCTAACAGGGCAGGCTCTGGCGTCAGACTGCCTAGATTTGAAAGTAAGCGCATCCCTTTATAAGCTGTGTGACTTCTCTGAGACTCAATTTTCTTATCTATGAAATGGAGATAATATTAGTGACTGCGTTTCTTTAAGAATATAAAATTGTTACCACACTTATTCATCCCATTTAGTTATCTATGCAACATATAGTTACTACAAGTTTCCTGTATCCAAGCTTTTGGGCAGTTGGAAATGCAAAGATAAGTCAGCTACTACCAGCAGAGGTCAACGTGGACTTAGAATTTCATAGGAGACTTTTGGAAGTGTGTCTGCTTTTCCAGTTACTTATGCCTAGACTTAGAGACACAAAATATGACAAGCAGTAATTATGCAGGCAAAGTTCAGTGCTCTAGTGGAAATATAGAAATTGTGGTTTCCAGGAAATCTACTTGCAGTTCCTTTCTCCCAAATCAGTTAGTTTTCAAGACAAATCTTTGAAACCTTTAACAATTGTTCAAAAAAATAATATTTTCAATGGATCTCAAGCTTCAAGTGATTGTTAAAATGTATGGTAAAGATTGTTTAGTTTTACTTTGGTATTGATTTACTCTATTAATTTCCTATTCTATAGAAGAAGGAAAACAGGGAGGTTTAGTGAGTAAAACCAGCAGTGTCATCCATGCTTTCATGAATTTGCATCCCAGAAAAACCACACCTGAAACTTGCCTCCAGAAACATATGCCCTCTTTTTGGGATGAGAATTAAGGTGCCGATGTCCTTGTTAAAACCAGATCCTTGAAACTGAAAGAAAAATGAAAGTGCTTGTACAAATACCCTGAAAAATCATCCACATAGGTGTTATAGCTTGGTTAAGTGAATTTTATCACAGAAATGCTGATTCTGGCCAGTGAATTCAACCAAATTGTTACTGTTCATATCTGTTTTTATTTCATCACTTTATTTTGAGATCAGATGGGTTTTTGAGCAGCCAGTTGTTTTTGGTCCAGATCCACATGGAGTACATTCCTGAGTATCTTTAGACTTAGTGTGGAGATAGCCCAAATGAGAAAACGTGCCTCTCTCTGTGCTACGCTGCTCCTTCTTAGGAGTTCTTCAAGGATATGAATCTACAGTCTAAATCAACAGCAGCCAAAACCTCTGCTGACTCCAAGGCTGAAGGAGTCTCCTTTTTTAAAATATTAAAAAAAAATGTCAACTTTCTAGTCTCTTCCTTACTTAGCATCAATCCTTTAGGCCAAGCTGAATCTACAGTCACTTCTCCAAACCTGCTCTGTGGAGGACCAGAGGCTGTCTGATCACACAGGTTTTCAGGTGCCTGGGATGAGCCAACATAGCAATGTCTGGTTGCAGTAGCTGTGTGGCAGCATCACATCTGAGGAACTAACCCCCTTCATTAGTGACTCAGGCATTGGTTAGTGAAGGTTATCATCTGTCACAGCCATTTGCTCCTAAACAGAGAATGTAAAAATAACGAAGTCTCTCTAAAGCAATTATCTTACACCCACCCACCCCAAAATTAACTGCTTCAGCACAACATTTTCAACAGCAGTCTAGGTAATTCTGACACAGATGGTCTGTTGACTATACTGTGAAATGCGCTGGTGGGTTGAGAAACCCTGTCTCCTCAGTTAACAAACCAATTGGGCTGTGATTCCTAGGAAGTGAGTGTGGTGCCCAATTGCTTCAAGTTGCATCTTTTGGCTCCAACTCACATTTACCGAGGTCCAGGAAATCTCCTTCTGAACCCTGTAGTTAATAGTTTTTTTGGGACATTCTAAAATATATTTCCTCTCGTAGAAGAGGAAAAGAAGTTGAGTGTTAGCTGAACACATTTGAGAACAGGCCTTTGTGCCACAATTTCCGAGCCTTATGATAGAGTGTAAAATCTTTTATTACAATTTAAAACAAGAGTGTATATCTGAGAAAACAAGAATAGATTTAAGGAGGCCCAAAAATCCCTGAAACATTATACAAAATGCAGATTACATGACAAGCTGTATTTCTGGAATGGGAAATATGGCTTTCATTTCAGTCTCAGTTTTGTAGCCCCCCTCCCCAAAAATGTTAAGATTGCCACTTAGAACAAATGTTGCACCTTCTTATTTATGTGGAAGAAATTCAATATATGATTGCATTCCAAATAATTTGCTTCTTTATTTTCACTTCACTGTCCTCTGTCATTTTCCTATAGTTTACAGATTCAAATTTCTTAGGAAATGAATTAGTATAAGATTTTGTCTAAGGCAACTAAAAGCAGGGTTCATGGCAGCCTATTCCAATTCTGTAAGCAACAATATGAAAGTTTAGAAATAGATTCTAAGAGTTCTCGGGCAGAAATGAACTGATGAGAATTTTCTAAGTTTCTTCTTTTCATTTTTTACCTATGGCTTAGTCTTCTGATTGATGATCAGTTAGTTTGGTGGGTTTCTTTTTTATCTCAGAAAAGTGAAAAAACATTCATGAAAGACGACAATTAAAATTTTGTGAAATTGTATTTTGCTAACTTAACAGTTCTCCCATTGGTGTTTTATCTAGGAGGTGGTAGCAGCACTATTGAGGCTCTGTCTTTGATTTCCCTCTCCCTTTAGGTGTGTGTGCAACATTGACTGTTCTCAAACCAACTTCAATCCACTCTGTGCTTCTGATGGGAAATCGTATGATAATGCATGTCAAATCAAGGAAGCATCGTGTCAGAAACAGGAGAAAATTGAAGTCATGTCTTTGGGTCGATGTCAAGGTAACGTTCATACCAAAATCCATTTCAAAGAATGTTTTTAGTCTTTGTGCAGAAATGGAAAGTGAAGATAACTCTTTATTAGGCTGATATTTCATTTCCAAAAGACCGTTCTGATCTACAATGGGTAGTGGACTTCACTGCAATATTTGTGCTGATTATAGGTGTTTAAGGGTCTATCAGCAATGGTACTTCTTTGTTCTAAATAATGGGACGGTATTGGCACAGTGCCGTGAACATAAGAAGCCAGTATTCAGAGAATACATTGTGCAAGCAAAGGGCAAAAAAAGAAACCCAGAAGCATCTTAATGAAAAATCTGAGCATTTATTACAACATTGAAATCAAAAGATCAATTTTTGTGTATTGATTCAGAAGAAACATTTCAAATACATTTTCAAAACAGGATGTACCAAAATGTTCTATTTTGTCTTTTGTTCAGAAGCATTTTCTTTGTTTTGGAATTATGCTTTCATCTAACTTACCTAGGTTATAACTTCTCTCCTCCCAAACTTCAGGAAATTGCCCTCGTGTTAATTCCTCTGAAAGGCAAATTGATGTTAGGTATCTCTATTTGTGTAAAGGATTTTGGAGCTATAACTCTAAAAATCCCTTAATAGTAATGGAAATGCTCCTGGGTGGGTAATATTAGGCAGACATTAAATATTTAGGAAACAGTTCATTAATCTTTATTGTTATTTTTTATACAGATAACACAACTACAACTACTAAATCTGAAGACGGACATTATGCAAGAACAGATTATGCAGGTACAGAATATTTTCTGCTATAGAATAGCAGACTCTCATAAGAGTCCTAAGAAAATGTTGTTTAGCATTCATTCTAAAACTTCACAAGGCCTTTGACATGTATTGAGCTGCTTCTTTTTTTGTTTTGTTTTGTTTAAGACTTTAATATGGAATAGTTCTTGGTGAAGCAAACAAGACATACTCTGTGAGGTTTAAATGCCAGAATTAAAGCAATTGTCAAAAATGTCAGTGAGATATAATTAACTTGTTTTGACAGTAGGAATGGTACAAATGACAAAACATTTATCAAATTAGTGGGTATCAATGGAAATTAATGCAATTTTTGACAGTTCATTATAATAAATGTAAATGTTCTTGTTTGAATTTTCACAAAGTCAACAATAAAAAAAGTTTTCTAGTTTCCAAAAAGTTAAGAAGGACAGCTATGAATAGTAATGTAAGTTGTCTTTCTTTATATGGAAAATAAAAAGGTATATAACATGTAGTTTAAAAATAATGTCTCCTTTGTTTTGAATCTAAGCTAAACTTCAAAACACATTTACATAAAATATAACTATATATTTCTACATATCTTTACCTAATATGTTTCCTGGCATGAAAATATATAATTTATAAGCTGAATGAAATTTTATAAGTCTTAGATTTTTTTAAAATCTGGGATAACAAATAAACTTAAAAGTATCAAAATTGATCATAATATGCAAATTTCCTTAAGTAAATTCCACCTAGCTATTAAGAATTTTAATTAGATGTGAGGCTAATAATCAATTAGAAATGATTGTTACTTACCTTTCAAAGTATATACTCTATTCCCTCGTTTCTTCTGAAACTTCACTCATCTAACATATGGCTGAGGTTATATTTTCACACAGAATAAATCTTTCTGAGATTGAGAAAACTAATTAGATGTCTTACTTCCTGATTATATCAAGTATCTCAGAATTGGAAAACTAATTCTCTTTTTAAAAACCTCCATATTGACATTTTTCAGTAACCAGATGATATTTTTCATTTACTAACAGCCTAGAATTATCATGAATAATGGTATATGGAATACTAGTTCCACTTATACATAATCATCCCCAAAGTGTCCAGAAGGGATTTCAGGTTCCTTGAAAGGAAAAGTCAGTGGTTAATAAACATGTGACAGACTCAGATAAACAACCGTAGCTTTCATCCAGAACTCCTCACAGCCCTTGTATTCAGTCCCAATTATTTAAGTGCTCTGCATCTTTTATTTAACATCACCCTCTTGTATCTTTGGGAGTTGATTTCAGGACCCCCTCTCAGGTACAAAAAAAAAACTAGGATGCTCCAGTTCATTATAAATGGCTTTCTATTTGCGTATATCCTATGCAGATCCTTTTGTATAATTTAAATCATTTCTAGATCATTTATAGTACGTGATGTAATGCATGTGGAATCTAAACAGTTACTATAATGACAAGAAAGAATAGTCTGTATTTGTTGAGTATAGATATGGATTTTTTTAAGATTTATTTATTTATTTGATAGACAGCATTAGAGAGAAAGAAGGGGAGAAACTAGGAGGTGGGGCAGGGAGGAGAGAGAAAGAGAGAGAGAATCTCCTGCTGGCTCATCCCCCAGATGGTTGCAAGCCCACTGCTGGGCCAGGCCAAACTAGGGGTCAGGAACTCTGTCTGGAGATCCCACTTGGATGGCAGGGACAAGAGCGTTAGGCCATGTTCTGCTGCCTTTGTTCCTAGGTGCATTCATAGGTAGCTAGATCTGAAATGAAGCACCTGGGATTTGTTCTGTCACTCCTAGGGGATGTCAGCACCCATGTGTCAAACTATTGAGTCAAAACTCCAGCTCTTAATCATGTGATTTTTTTAAATGTGTATTTTTAAAAGATTTATTATTTTTTCATTTTAAATTCATATTTGCAAAGAGAAGTCAGAGAGAGAGAGATCTTCCTGCTTTAGTTCACTCCCTAAATGGCCACAATGGCCACAGCTACCATGGCGCCAAGAGCCAGGAGCTTCTTCCATGTCTCCCATGTGGGTGCAGGGACTTGAATCATCCTTTGCTGCTTTCTCAGGTCATAAGCAAGAAGCTGGATCAGAAGTAGAGCAGCGGAACATGAATAGGTGGCCACATAGGGACCAGTACCACAGGTGGGGGCTGAGTCTTCTATGCAATGGTGTTAGGCCCCACAAACATATTTTTGATTCATAGTTAATTAATCTGTGGATGTATAACCCTTGGATATGGACGACCACCTGTAGTAACTTTTTAACTCTTTTGATGCAAAATTGTTTTTTAGAAGTGGATCTTTTTAATGTTTTTAAAGCTTAATTAATGAATAGTTCCCTAGATGGCTACAGATAGGTAAGGTTGCTTGGTAGTTTTCAGAAACATCATAGCAATGACAATGCCCTTTTAATTTGTAGCCTGCTATAGTGATTAGAAGTTGCTTATATGAAACACTTGGTTGAATCACAATTGCTGCCTCCTAAAGTCTGAGTATCAGGAAGCTGTAATCGGGTGTCAGAGTGAGGCATCAAACCAGACAGTTGATAAGGCACCCAGGTGTCTCAATTACTAGATTAAATATGTCTCCCCAGTGTCACTGTTTTTAATTGGCACCACCTCTTATCTTTTTACTGGGCATTGGAAAGAAGAGAATATATTCTTAAATAAATGTAAATGAAAACTATTCCATCACTCAGTGTGGCCCAGTTTCTCCCAGTTTAGTAAATGTGAAAGCGAAACTTTGAAACAAAGTTGTCTAAAAATACAAGCTTCAGATAGAATCAAAGATAATGTCAACTGAAGCTGTTACTCCCAATTAAGCATTGATTATGCACTCAAAAATTCTCCCGGAGTCTATTTTAGGTATCTTTACCTTCATTAACAGTTTTATTAAAATGCAATTATACCACTCATGAAAGATGACTTAAATCATAGTCATATTGCTCAATATTCTCACATATCCAATAGAATTGGCATTTTCTTGAGTTTTGAAGCACTGACTTTGGGGAAAAAGTGGAGAGAGACATTGTCCTTCTCTTGATTTCTGTTTCACATGCTTGTTAAGTCCCGGCAGAAGGGAAAACAGGAACGCTGTGACTCACACTCCCAGAGGTTTGCTGTGTACTTTCATCTAATTTGGCGTCACAGGCACTTCCCTTGTGACACAAACATCCGTAGATTCTCCCACCAGAGGCAAGTAAGGCAGTGAACACACTCAGACCTTGCAGGTCATTCGTGCAATGGATTCACTACTCCTTCATCCCCCCTTACCAATTTCCTTTCTTTGCCTTAGCATCTATTGCAAAATTATTGATACAAGAACACATGTTTATAAGAATTTAAGAGTCTCCTTGAGGAAACTTTTCCTTAAGAAAAATTTGTCTCTAGTGTTATGAGAAGAGAGGCATCAGTGAGGAAGCAGAGGCTGGATTTCAGCAGCAACAACTGCACACTGAGGAAGCATGTCTCCACCATAGCTCACATGTGTGGGGGTCTGGAGTCATCGATTTACCCTGAAATATGAATGTCTGGATCCCCATAGGCAGCAGGAAACCGAAGAAGTTCCTCCCCAGCAGTAGACTCTCCTAGGATCGGACCTGTCTCCCTTAGTCCATCCTCTGCCCTTTCTGGAGCCTGGAGGAGGTGGAGTCTCTGTCTTTTTCTGCCTCAGGGTCTGGTGAAAGATCTCTGTTAGAGAGAGACTCAACAGGCCATTCAACATTATTCTCCCTTCATCAGTCTGGCACTCAGCCTGAGAGCTGGTTCTTCACCCCAAGGAAGGCTCAGGGGACACATAGTTTCTAAGACCACATTGCTAGAGCTTAAGGGATTTTCCATTGTCTCAAATTGCTGTAACTAATTCCCTTGTGGATGGTTTAGAGTAACAAATGTTGTGCAGCTCTTAAATTTGCAATATTTGCTTAAAATATGTATGTGTATGTTCCTGTGTGTGTGTGTGTGTGTCCTTGCTGTCACATAATGTTTTAAAAATTAAGCTCAGCGGCTTTATTATTCCTCATCAAATGTTTGTATTTTCTGATTGTTGTTGCTTTTCTGTCTAAATGCTGGTTATGCTTCAGAAAAAGTAGTTGCATTTTTTGAGTACAAAATGCTTAATTTTGTAAGTTGTTTCATGTTTTAAAAATGAAATTAAACTATCTTGTTTTTATCACCTAAAAATAAAATGTGTTGTATTTTACAACATCCTGAACCAGTTTCCAAAAAGGATCTGCAGTGTCTTATAATTAAATGCATTCAGAGAGATTATTTAAATAGAAATTGAAAACATAAAAGCAGAACTGTTAAAGGAAATTGAAAATATCAGCAACATAGACTATTATAGTTGCTGAATTTGGCCCTAAGCTTCCTTGCAACCAATACAAATAAATTACTGTTGAATCTGTCCGTTCAACAAATAAAGAGTCCCTTTTCTATGCAAGGCACTGCCCTGGGTTTTACAAAGAAGAACAAACCAGCACAGGTCTCTGCTAATTGGAATTTAGGTTTTTATAATCTGAGAAAAAGAAATAAAGAGTAAATTCAAAAACCAAACTCAAAGTTTCTCTTTGTTAAGTTACAAAAGAAATGTTTAGCATAGATTTTGTTACTTAGAAGATATCACTGGAAATCAAAACAAACGTAAAATCTTGGGCAGCTACCGTGATGACCTATGCCAAGAGACTCTGTGTATAACAGTTCTTCAAACTAATGATTTATTTAGTTAAAAAGAGAGAAGGGTAGAGATAGAAAATAATTTCATGCACTTATAGTTTTTATTGATTATATTTCATTTTGTGGCACAGTTTCATAGGCTCTGGGATTCCCCTAACCCCTCCCATACCTTCCCCCCCATTGTGGATTCCTCCACTTTGTTGCCATATTATAGCTCAAATCCAGTCAAGATTCTTTCATTGCAGGCATATACCAAGCATAGAGTCCAGCATCGTATTGTCCAGATCCATTCAACAGTTTCTTGGGGAGACCATCTCTGGAATATCATCCTG